GAGACAAGTCCGTCATGCTTAACCGTAACAAAGTAACTTCAGTACCTTGCACAACAAGTTTTGCTTCTTTTTTCTGAGTTACATAGCCGCTCATACAATTTTTTGCAGGTGCACAGAGCTAGAGCTGAGAGAGAGATCCTTGATTTGCTTGACCATCCTTTTCTTCCTGCACTCTATGCTTCTTTTCAGGTCGGAAAATCTCTCCATTGTGTATGTATTCGTTTCTCAGTCTCAGGTCACTGATGGATCATGTTTTTCTCTGCAGACAAAAACGCATATATGTCTTATAACAGATTACTATCCAGGAGGAGAACTTTTCATGCTCCTAGATAGACAACCTAGGAAGGTCCTCAAGGAAGATGCCGTAAGGTACAAGTTTTCCTCTATGGACAAAACTCAAACATTTTTTTAACATAAATCATAAACTAACAGGAAACCTGATTAAATTTTCAGATTCTACGCTGCCCAAGTTGTCGTTGCACTCGAGTATCTTCATTGCCAAGGTACATTATTCAATTTTCTCTTCAGTTACACACAAAACTTGAGACACAAGGAATCTTGTCTTGATATGTATGTTTCCAATGATATGTATTTTCGTATTGATTCAGGAATAATTTACCGAGATTTGAAACCGGAAAATGTGTTGATCCAAGGAAACGGCGATATCTCCTTATCGGATTTCGATCTGTCTTGCTTGACATCTTGCAGACCTCAGGTTTTCTCTCAACTTTCTCCTTTCTCCCTATCAAATTCTTGTAAAAAAAAAACGTCTGCTAGAGAGTTTTTAATGATCTAATTACGTGTGGTCCATGTATTCCGCAGCTGTTGATTCCGAGTATAGATGAAAAGAAGAAGAAGAAGCAACAAAAGAGCCAACAAACTCCAGTCTTCATGGCTGAACCTATGCGTGCATCAAACTCATTTGTTGGCACTGAAGAATATATTGCTCCGGTTAGTGTAATTACTAACTTAATTGTACCGTTTAAGCTAATATTTCTCTATTTTAACTGGTAAAAAAATGTCTCCTATGAGTAGGAAATTATCAGCGGAGCAGGGCATACAAGTGCAGTGGACTGGTGGGCTCTTGGTATCCTTATGTACGAAATGTTGTACGGATACACTCCTTTTAGAGGAAAAACCAGACAGAAGACTTTCGCCAATGTTCTTCAGAAAGATTTGAAGTTCCCAGCTAGCATTCCTGTAATGGAGATCAATCACTCTTGTTATATCAATTAATGGCATGTAAAAATGAGATGTTTAATTGTTTAATTTGTTATGGGGCTTGCAGGCAACTCTTCAAGTGAAACAGCTGATCTTTAGGCTGTTGCAACGAGATCCGAAGAAGAGATTAGGCTGTTTTGAAGGAGCAAACGATGTCAAGAACCACACTTTCTTCAAAGGCATAAACTGGGCTCTGATTCGATGCACGGTAACTTTGAAGTTTCTCTTTACTTGGGACAGAAGAATACAGTTTATGTTTACTTGCGAAAGAAGAAACATATTGTTTTCTTATGAGTTTGTTTCGATCTGCAGACTCCTCCGGAGCTTGAAACTCCGATATTCTCCGGCGAAGCTGAAAACGGAGAGAAAGACGTCGTGGATCCTGAACTGGAAGATCTGCAAACAAATGTTTTTTGAGATTTGAATTTGAAGTTCTTTTAAATGCTTTCAACTTGCTCTCCCAAAGCTTTGAACGAAATGGTTTTCTCATTCCTTTTCTTTTTCAATTTTTTTTTTTTTTTATTTTATCGTTATCTGTTTCATTTGTGTTCTTAAGGTTTTCTTGTATTATGTGTTTGTTTGTGTGATTTCTTCATCAATGTTTTGTTACCTGTCAATAAAATTAATCAAGTTTTGTTTACGTTTTGTTTGTTTAATTATAAAATGGCATGATGAGATGAAGTTGCTAATTATTAAAAGGAAAAGAAATGAAGCTTTTATAGATTTGTGATTTGGTAAAAAGACATCTAAAAGGAGTTTTGAAGGCCATGAAAGATGATGGAAGCTGATTGATGTGAGCATGAAAAGCACATGTCAAATGTGAATCAACCGACATAGAAGCATGAGAAAGTGAAGCAAAATTGATTTCAAAGGCATTTGGGCAAAAATTTATCACTTTCATATCATGTTAACCACATCATTCTACCACCATAAATGATATTTTTGTTTTTTTTAGTTTTAATGTTAAGAATAAATGAGAAATGTTTTTTTCCATATATACATATTTAAAAAATTAATAATTTTTTTGAATATGTAACCGTCGTGTAAGTTTACCAATATACAAAAATGATGCATCCATTTAGTACTGTACTATTTTATGCATACAAATGTTATTTAGTTAAAGCATTACATTAAATAGTTTTTTTATTAAAAAGGTATAATATTTCAGGATAACTAATATATATGTATATAAAATCGATATAATAGGAAATATAGATTATTTTCTAAAAATGTTATCAGTTTACTATTGGTATAAATACATGAAGTATTGTCACATAAGTAATCACAAGACAAAATACTAATTGTATAAACCTGAAACAATGAGTGCAAACAAGACAAGAGTGTGTATATCCATCTTACTAGTGGGGCTAATGATGTTATTAACTTCTCAAAATACGAAAGGTAATAGTGATTTTGCGTTTGCTCCAGTATCGGAGAAAGGAATATTCCCAAATCCAATGTCTTGTGTAGCAGATGCAAGTAAAATTCCAGATTGTGTAGATGCATTGAAGCAATTCCAACTCAAAACTATCAAAAAAGAATGTTGCATCGTTCTATTTGGTCTACCAGAAGATTGTTTTGGGTTTTTATTTCCAATGCTTTTTACTTATCGAGTAATGCTTAAACTTACATGCAAATTATTAGATTTAAGTAGTTAATCATATTTTTTATTTATTTAACATTTGTTATTTTTTTTTTTAATGTAATAGTTATAATTCATATTTTCAATATTTATAATAAAAACCTATGATTCACATGTTATAGACTGTTATGTTTTGATCATGTAGCATTATTTGACTATTGTTTTAACGTTTCCATCATCTACGCATTTGTCTTGTCAAAAATTATGTTTTGCAAAAAGGAGATTCATTTAAAACAGAAACCTAGATTAAAGAACCCTTCTTGAGCGCATATATGATTCATGTACATAAAGACAATGATTTGTATTAATTTCTTAAATTTATGTCTTTCTTGCACAATGCATATATTATACACACACGTGACACACACATTTGCACATGCACTATTTTATATCCAATGTTGAGTTAATTTTCTTCCAGATCCTACAGTTTTAACAATGAAATGCCCACTCCCGATTACTTCCGTGTTTCCGTTTGCTTACAAACTATTATATTTGTAAACAATACCTGATTTTCATTACTAAGTTTGTTTTCTTGGTTAGTTACACAAAAGCAGCTTACTTTCTTCAAATTAGAGACCTTTGCAGATATGACTTGGCAAAATGAATCGTTTGGCATATGTGGCATGGTCTGATGTTCTCATTGGCCAATTAATCTGCCTACATGGAGTCCCTGAGAAGAGCCAAAATCTTTCATTGTCTCATCTAAATTTGTCTCCGATCCAGGTTCATTTCTTGGATTCTATTATCTTCTTTCCACTTTGACCAACTTCCTCCCAGAAAATTTCCGGACTTTCTGTCTCTTCTTACTTACTTGGTCCAAGTTTTTGTTTTTCCCATTTTTCTCCTCCTTTGATTAATTTGTCTCTCTACTCTCCGCTTACTCGTACTCTGATTTCACTTTAAAAATTCGTCCCCTTTTCTCCTTTTCTCAGAGAAAGTTTCAGTCTTTCTGATTCTACCAGGAAATTTCATCGATTTTCTCTTCACTGACAAATCATTTTACAGCGAAGGGTTTATCGCTCTCTGTTAGCTCCACTTCTCTCCGGGAATCAAAATCTCCGCTTTCCTGGAAAAATGAAACCTTTTTCAATCTTTGGTTAGTAATTTGTTCAATGCGTCAAGAGAAGTATCAACGATGATCAAACAAGGGTTTATCTCTGATCCTCCTCTCTCTTTCTCTCCTTCAAGAACCGCGTCTCTCTCCAAACCCCCCATATCCTCTCCTCCTCCATCGCCGAACGATTCCACTCGGTCGCGTCGCTCAAACCCGACCCTTCTCGACATGATCTCCGACGAGCACAACCGCGAGACCAGAAGATACCAAGACGAGCCTCGGAGGAAATACCACGCCCGCGTGGCCAAGATCCTGGCGGATTTCAAGAACGGCGTGGGAGCTGGCGACGCGAAGCTGACTCTTGTTGGCAGAGACGGGCACAGAGCGACCATGGATGTGCACAAGAAGGTTCTATCAGAGAAGAGCAAGTTTTTCATGGAGAAGATGAAGTCTCGAAGAGAGAATGGCGTCTCTCAGCCTCACATTGTGGAGTGTGATGATGTTGAGACGTATGTGGAGACTGTGGTGTTGATGTACTGCGATGATCTCAAGAACAAGCTGATTGGTGAAAATGTCTTCAAAGTCTTGGCTTTGCTTAAGGTAACATTTGCAACTCCTCTTATATAGTGTGAATTTGATTCTGGTAGATAGATTGAAAGGCCTGAATTGGAATCTCAGGGATGATTAGGATAGAGTAATTGATAATCCATGTCTCTCTGAATCTCTTGATCTTTTTGTTCCTGAGGAAATTGAAGGAAAGTGGAAACTTTTGTGGACTAGTTTACTCACAGAAACACTGTTTCTTGATGCATCTTTTGTGTGATTTAGAAATGCTCATTCGATATCATTTAGTCTGCGCCAAGTGAATCTTCTGTATGTATGGCTAAGCCAAATCTGAGAGCTTTTTTATCACCAAATGGTTTCATTCTCTCGCTTCTGAGATGGTTTAGTCTTTTGCTTTATAGGTTTCTTCAGCTATAGAGTTTGAGGAGGGGATAAAGTCATGCCTGGAGTACTTAGAGGCGGCTCCATGGTCAGAAGAGGAGGAACAAACCGTTGTGTCTTGTATTGAAAAGCTTGATCTTGCTGGTTCAACCGCCAATTCGGTTCTGGAGAGAGTATCAGTATCATCCACTTCCAAAAGTACAACCAACGACGTCTTCTTGAAACTCCTTACTACTGTTCTCAAGCCAAAGACGATAAAGCTCGGCGAGATATGAAAGCTGTGATCTTTCGGTTGATTAGAAGAAGGAGCTGATGTGTCTAAAGAAATGCTTACAGTCTGTGTCACCGATGTCTCCTCTCACTTATCCTCTGCTTATCAGAAGTCACATCCCACCTGAATGATCCTGGTGATTTGGTTGGAGAGATCTCTAGAGAAGCTGGTAACTTGCTTTGGATAGTCGATATACTAATCGAGAAGAAGATCTGCGACGAGTTTGTGCAGCTATGGGGAGAGCAGAAGGAGCTAGCGAATCTCCATTCCAAGATTCCTGCAAAGTACAGACACGAGATAAGCAAGATCACTGCACGGATCTGCGTTGGAATTGGTAAAGGAAAGATCTTGGTGAAGAGGGAAGCTCGGTTTACGGTTCTCAAGACATGGTTGGAGGCCATGTACGATGATTTTGGTTGGATGAGAAGGTCTTCTTCGAGATCAATGGAGTGGAAAGTGGTGGAGGATGGACTCAGCCAGATGATACTGACATTGTCGTTGAGTCAGCAACAGGTGGTTCTGATGAAGTGGTTTGATCGGTTCATGAGCAAAGGAGATGAATGTCCAAACGTTGAAAGAGCTTTTGAGGTTTGGTGGAGAAGAGCTTTCGTTAGACAGGTCATTGTTGAGCCAAGTGAATAGTGATGCCTCTCAGCTTCCGATTACAACATTACATTGATACTTTTCTTTTTTTGTTAGTCAACAAAGGCTTTACATTTGTGCATAGAAACATCAGCGTGAATATTGTTACATGTATACAAGCTAGGTTTGTGAATTAGTCAGAGTCTTATTACACATATATTGTTACTGAAACAAAGTTGGATCTTTTTACATTCTGCAACTCTGTATTTCTAATGAACACAGAACTCAAATATGACTCAAATATAGACTTATACCAATTATACGAAGTTTCATATACCAGAAGAACACAAAATCATTACAAAGAGTTTGCAAGAACAAAGACTTAAACATTGACATAAAAAAAGAATCAATTAGTTTATTTTCTTCTTCTTTTCTTCATCTTCCTCAAAGCGCAGCAAACGGATGGTTGGCGAGTGAATGAGCAGACCACCTCTTGTAAACATCTCTCTCCAAGCACTTGCTCAAAAAGTCTTTAGCTTGAGTAGACAACCAAACTGGTTGACGAGGCATGAGATCGCTGTGACCAATGATATTGGCCCAATCATCAAAGCAGAGATCGCCATGTTCTCCCCAAACTATTTCTCCGCTTAACATCTCCAGAACAGAACATCCAAAAGCCCACACATCCGCTCCAAAGTCAACCATCCCATGGCTCATCAGCTCCGGAGACATGTATCTCGTCGTGCCTCTCTTGTGGCCATAACCGTCACCGTACTCCATCGACCCTTTCTCCATAGCTAATCCGAAATCTCCGATCTTGGCCAAATAACCGTTAGCTCTAAACCGGAGACTGATAGGGCAGAGCAAGAGATTATCCGGCTTGATATCGCAGTGAACTATGCCACGATCGTGTATGTAATTGAGACCAGATAAGATGTCTCTAGCGAAGAGCTTAACTTCAGACTCAAGCAACTCTCCGTGATTGTCCTCGATCAAGTCGGCGATCGTTTTCCCTGAGCAATACTCGAGAACCAAGTTGTATTGATTCTCTTCCCGAACGATCTCTGCGTCGTAGCAACGGACGACGTATGGAGAATTCAGACGGATTAAGATCCTCGCTTCGTCCATGAGGCTTGTAGCGCGTGAAAGCTCTGCGGTTTTGATGGCTCTCTCTGTTTCATCGGTTTTACTCTTGGCTAGGTAAACCGAACCGTAAGCGCCTCTCCCAAGCAACCGAGATTTGACCCAAGACGATGAATTGCTTAGTCCTCCTCCTCCGTCGTGGGTTACGGCTGAGGATTTCTTAGCTTCGAAGGATGCTTGGGTTATCTCTATGAGACTACTACTCATAGCAAGGCCTATAACTCCTCCTCCGTCGTGGGTTAGTGAAGATTTCGGTTTAGAGGCTTCGAAGGATGCTTCGGTTATCTCTATGATACTACTAATCTTCTTCAAAGGCAGTTTCTTTTTCATGATCTTCATGTTTGGACGGAGGATTATCGGAGATAATCTTGCAGCGAAAACTAGGTTTTGCTTCATGGTGTTGTTACAGCTTCAAATCTCTCTGTTTCTCTTAAAATTCTCTCTCACTAGTCTGATAAAACAAAAGCAAATAAGCTTGTTGTGTGTTAGGGTTTGGTAAGTGTGATGATATATATGATCTACGTTGCGTGGGATGTAAGTTTTCCATTTTTCTTTGCCACAGAAAAAGGAAATTTCCATTCTTCTTTCTGATTTCCTTTTTGTTCCGTCATTAGTAACTAACAGTGATTAGTGTGACTACTAAATTATGAAGCGATTATTAAATATATGGGGTAATTTTACAATATTCGATAAATTATGATGTCTCTGTCACCAGACCTAACGCCTTAAAAAAGTCCCCAAATTGTAAAATCTGGCCACAGAGGAGAGCGATGAAGACAGTCACCGGAGGAGTCATCGCCGCAGAACCAATCTCCGTCCCACAGGCGGCCACGATTCTCTCTAGTTTCGTCTCTTCAAAGAACGGCGCGTCGCAAGACGTCGGCGCGTACCTCCGACGCGCCTCCGCAGCCTTTAGCGAGCTGAGGAGCTTCCACGGCGAGCTGAATTCGCCTCCTTTGAAAGAGACGCAAGTTAGTTCTGATGTTACACATGAGCGGAACGAAGAAAGGAAGAAGAATAAGAAGAAGAAGAAGAAGAAGAAGAAGAAGAAGAAGAAGAAGAAGAAGAAGAGTGAGGAGAGCATTGAAGATGATGAAAGTGTTGTTGTTGGGAAGGTGAAGGAAAAGCTGAAAACTTGTGAGGAATCTATGCAAGTGGAAGTTGAAAACGAAAAGGAGAGGAGAAAAGAGAAAAAGAAGAAGCGGAAGAGTGAAGAGATGCATTCTGTGGAGAAGACGAGTAAGAAGGGAAAAGAGATTAGGTAGTTGAAAGTTGGTTCCTTTGCCATTTTAGTTGAAGATTAGAGATTGGGGTTTTGATAAATCTTCTGAATTTCGGGTGAGTGTAGTTAAAGATGATACTTTGTGACTCTAATGAGGAATCGAATTGAGAAATCATTTATGGGGAACTCTTTATGATGATACTACTTGTTAAGCTATTTTGTCTGCAACTAAAAGTATTTGCTGTTTCGGTTCTCTCCCTTTTGCTTTCAAATATCTATATGTGAATTACTAGTTCTTGAAGACGTTTGAACATGAAGTTGCTTAAGACTCTGGCTCTTGATGATAAACGCTTGAATTGATGTTCTATCTAACTATGTTTGATGGATACTGATACTTTATCCTGGAAAAGCTCGAAACTTTCTATGTTATCTCATACTTGTTGGCACTTGGTGATGCGTTGAGCAAAATGTGTTATGGGAGCAAACTGGGCCGGAGCAAGAAAGAGGATGACTGAGATTTTGCTGTTAAGCTAAAGTTGTGCAAGTGCAGATGATTCTCTCTCGTCAGGTGTGTAAAGTGATGGGACTTGAAACAGGATTTCAGCATTTGGGTAAATCTGCAGGTGGAGGGAGAAGCTTCTCTTCAGGCTTTTTCTCCATCCATAACAAGCCAAGCCATTCTCCAACCCCAGCTGGTGTGTACTTCCAAGTGGCAGAGCAGGAACCACAATCCTGTTACGACTCGCGGTATATGTATGAGGAAGCTTTGTTCCATTGCTTATCATGGTGTTATTTGGTGGATTGCTTGTCTAGTTAAACCTTGTTGGATCACGGGGAGAATCTGGGGAGTGTATTCTGTGAGTCTGTTAGTGAGACTGCAGGAGAGCTGTTGCTGGCATAGCGGAAGAGACATTATAAACTGAGGCTGCAAAGATTGTGCGGTTAGGTCTCTGGCATGTCTTGTTATGATGCTTAAGAATGGGTTTGTTTCCCAATTCCGACCGTGAAAGGAAACCTTTTGAGGCACATTTGCGGGGAAATTTCTTGTATTCAAACTATGCAGCTTATTGGTGAAACTGGTGGCAAAATTTGTGTCGCTCAGAGCTAGAAGCACTGGTTTGAAGAGCTGAAGGATCGATGGTTCTTGATAGATGGTTTCGAGTGAATGCCGTTGATACTCTTTGATGGTTCGTATTCGTAAATGCCTACAACAGAATACCTTTAGCTGAGCAGTAACATAGTGTTCCAGGGAGTCCATTGCTTGTGTATGCATCAGAAGCATTTAAACAGAGCAAGTTCTGCATTACTATACTAAACCAGAACCGGTGAAATTTGTATTGATTGTATCAGGCTTTTGTTAATTTGCCGTTATGCTTACCAAAGATCATAGAAACTTCTTTGTATGGCTCCTTGCTTGGGAAGAATGATAAGTGGGTCGTAGATTGTTGCTCTCCACTCTCTAATCATACAAGATGTTGTCTTTGTCTATAAGAAGTCAGTTGAATGTAGTCTCAGATTAATGTAAAATTTGAGCCAAAATTTTAAGTGGGACTGAATCTGATTTATCAGACAACATACATCTGTAAAGTGTGGAGAAGTCCATAAACTTTGAGTGATGAAACTAACACTACAGTAAATGAAATGTTACAAATTTGTGAGCGAGAGAGGAGGGAGGTTTTAATCCAAAAATCAATACATAAATCTCTCACAAGCTTTGGCATAAACAATCACATTTTTATACAATCTGTACATATATACAATGCTTAAGAAAAATACTACATGTCATGAACTTGAATCATGGTATTGTAGACGTACAAAGGACAAATTCTTGTAAGTTTCCTCCATCAACTAACACTAGAACCTGTCCGTAATTCTAAGTGAAATAATCAAAATTTGTTGTTTTAGTTAAATTGAAAACATATTAGGAAAAAGAAAAAGTCAGAAATTCTCTTTGTGGAAAGTAAAGCGAGTGGACGACTCGAGACTGAACTCCTGACAAAGTGCTTTTAGTGGTCGGACAAGCGTGGGACTTCCACAGTAGAACACACCTGAAAATACCATACAAATTAAGGTTTTGTTCCACAGCCACTCGAGACATTTTGTTAGCAAGTTGTAAGAATATTATAAGAACCATGCAGTTACCTATGCGAGAAGTTTCGTGCTTGCTTGACAATTCAGAAAAAACCTTCCTCCAATTAGGTCTTGCGAAATGCGTTCGTATCTGAATCAGGTTGCAATATTGGATACAAATATTTTCAAATACTGATAAATGATATATGAGGTTTAAAAAAAAAAAAAAAAAAATTGGATGATAAAAAGATGAACATACTCGGCTCTCAGAGACAATGTCAACACCGTTTTTGGCATGTTGAAGTTTCTGGACCATTGCGATTAGAGCTGATCTTGCATCTCCTGCTTCGTACATACTTGTTAAGTAGTTATGCATCTCTATCACATTCTGCCAATTTAAACAGACAAATTCTTTTAAAATAAAGTAATAGATATCAAGAAATATATGCTAAATTTCATTTCATTCACTTTTTTTTGGTAAAGTGTATTACAATACTTCAAATTACTTGGAGTTATTGGTATTTCTCTACTATTATATTATAAAAATGGGTATAAACTTACGGTTTTGTCGTAGACTGCGATATCATCCATAACTCCTTTGAACCATTCGAAAGAAGCTTGCTCTCTTGTCACCCAATAGAAATAAGCTCTTTGTGGAAACTTCCTACCTCCATTTACACTAGATCCTCCTAAGCTCTCACCTCCTACACTTCCATCATACTTTTGCCCCTACATTTTCAAAATTTAACACCGCATTACATTTCTTCTTCATAGTCTTCTTTCCTGAAGACTCTCACCAGCAAGGGTTATAGATTACTTACGGCTTTTGGAATACCGGGTTTGAGATGATTTAACATGTCTTTTAGGATGCTTATGAATGGGGTCGCACCGATCCCTAGCCCGACCAGCAAAAGGATATCGAACTTCTCATAATTTTGTGCCGGAGCACCATATGGTCCTTTGATGAAAATCCTTGGAAATCTGGTTGTGAAGATATATTGATCGGATGAGATCATCATAAATATTTCAATCATCTTATGTAAGAATATCCTCGATGGATCGGGTAATAAAGATATTCACTTACAAGACTTGTGATTCTTCAATGTGAGGATTTGCACCTCTTGCTCTTGTTTCCATCCTAACAAGATTATTTGGAGTAGGTTTCGATGTTTGAGGAGGCTCACATGTCTACAAGAAACATGAATAAACTATTTCAAGATCATGTTCATAAGTTGTAAGATTTATAAAACCAGATGGTAAGGAAAATAAAAAAAAAACTTACCTCTGCAAATCTGTTCCTAAGTTCACCGGTCCAATCTCCCAATGCTCTTATGTGAACGCTCAAATATTCATCTCCGGGTGCAGAAGTGATGGAGAATGGATGCCTAAACCACAAGAACAAAATTACAACGATAGGAATTAAAAAAATATTTTGGTAATTATTGATTTGATTTTATTGTTTTTTGAGAAAATATGTTATTACCATTCGAATTTTGAGATATCAGGGCATTTGACAAACATGTACATGCCACTTTTGTACTTGAACCCTTGAGGTTTTGTCATATAGAGTGCAAGAACATTTCCTGAATATACAATGGCCTAGGCAAAAAAAAAAAACATCGATCCACAAGGAAAAAAACACAATCAAATTTATATAACTAATTTCATAATTTTGTATGTTGTAACGCAACGAATATAAGATTCGTAATTAATTACCTTGATAATGTGGACACGATGGTTGTGTTCTTGAACTCGTGAGAATAGTCTTTCGCTCGCGTAAAACACCATTGGCACGGCCACGTACATCCATGTCTGCATTTTTCCACACATCAAAAATATTAGTTAAGAAAATAAAGAAACTATAAGATATGAAAACAAATGCTTAATTTGTATTTATATGTTAACTTACCGTCTTTTGGTACCAAGGCTTCTCGATGATAAGAATGTAACCATGGATAATGAGAAGAGCATAGGCAATAACCAGCAAATGATGCGCATACCAAAACGCATTAAACCCAGCAAGAACGTTAAACGGCTTAGGCAATTTCACTATGTTCCTTCTGAAGTAATGCATGGCGAGCGTGAATGCTATCCCCATGAAGAAGATCATCAGAACTCCTGTGACCGAAACCGGGGTTAGCATTAAACCTAAATAGGTCGGTTGCTTGGGCCCCAAGAGTTTTGCCGCGTACGCGGAGAACAAGTCATGAGGGCAAGAGCTTAGCCTAGGGTAGTTGCATAGCATGTGTAGTGCCGTGTGGAGGAAGGAAATGACAGCGATCCAAACCGCTATCAACTTGTGGAAGTTGATGTTGTCGTCGAAAGGGATCAAGTGGCTCAAGAAAGAGGATCTCAGGAACGTTAGGGTTCTTCTCAAAACGGGGACCAAGATCAAAGCCATGTTGAATTTGAGCATTTCTGCGGTTCCTTTGGCGGCGCAAACGCAGCGTCCGGTGACGTTGTAAAGAGGGCTTGTGGTGAACTCTTTGTATTTCCATATGAAGAGGCAAACGTTGACTGCGAGCCACAACGTGATGACCCAAATCTTCTTCCAGTGCTCGTGCATTAGCTCCGCGGTTACTGAAACGTATTTGCTAGTCGGCGTTCTGTAACGTTCTGGGATCATGGCTCGCGTTAGCGATTGTGATTTCCTCACTATCTTGGTTGAGTCAGCGTTTGTCACCATCCCGGTTAATAGCACCTCGAGTTGCCACATCTGGTCGATGTAAGCTAAAGAAATGTTAGCACGGACAAGGCATGCAATGTAGTATAAATCTGTTTAAAATTAAAATCTGTTTTATTTGATTCTATAAACTTAAAATTAATATATTTATGTTATCTTCATGATTTTAATGTAATATTTTTAGCTATATAATTTTGATTGCTGAGAATGAAACCAAAAACAAAAACTTATAAAAACTCATATAGCAAATGTGTTTTAAAGTTTGCATATAGCAAATGTGTTTTTAAAGTTTGTTAATTAAAATACATAACGCAGAAGTCAGGATGGCCGATTGGTCTAAGGCGCCAGACTTAAGTTCTGGTCCTCGTAACGAGGGCGTGGGTTCAAACCCCACTTCTAACAATTTACTAGTTTTGTTTTTTTTTGTCAGCCAATTTTCCGGGTAACAGCTTTTAATCAGGTTTCATAACCTTCTATTTATTGTTATTTTTGTCATATGACTAAGAACTTCTGGTTGATTGATCAAACCCTAGCTTTGAAACGATGAACCAATAATCTCATTAGCTAGCTGATTGTTGTTTATTTTCTTTTTTGGACCTACAACTTTCAATATTTTAATGATCACACTATTTCATAGAGTATCGAAATGGCATTAAGAAGAAACCTCAATGTAACCGTGGTGATCGGGGTCAAGTTCTTCCATGATCAAAGAAGCATAAGCCGCAGCGTTCTTCTTGAGATTCCCGAGCTTGTTCGCCGATGCACTCAAGACTATGACCTCTTTAACCTCCTCTTCTGTTAGCTTACCATCTCCATCCTTGTCACACCTAAATCGCAATTGTTAAATCTCATTTTTTTTTTTCAAATAAAAAAAAACACAAGAAGAAAAAAAGAAAAAATGATTACATGTCGAAGAAGATTTGGAGGCGACAGTCGAGGTCTTTCTTGATCATGTCTTCCCAAAACAGCTTGAGTTGTTCTTTATCAATTCCATTTTCTGTGTTTATTTGTCTTCTCCTACCTAATGCTTCGTATACTTCTGATGCAAACTCCAACGTATCTCCCATTCCTTATACACGTACGTACATACATAATTATAAATTTATAAAACTATAACGAAAAAAAAAAGAATATGTTTACGTGAAAAAAAGTAATGTTTACCGATGCAAACGCCAAATTTTTCCTTGGGAAGCTTTCCATTAACGGCGAACTGATTAAACCGGTTCTCAATGGATCTCCACGAGTCTCGTTCCCGTCCGGTGACGGTCCGATCAAGGAACCGGAGACTTTGTAGTCCCCTAGCCGCGCTAGATGTAGTCCTCTCGACTCTTTGTGGCCCCGTTTTTTTTGTCATGGCCACAGGGAGGCCCAAATTTCCGCTCTTCCTTGTGCTCGGATCCCCCAAGTTTCCGCTCTTTCTCCATTTCGACACGCTCATCGACCTTATTACTGATGCCACGCCGAGATTCCTCGATACATTCTTCAAGATCCCAATACCACCACCACCACTACTCTCGGCCTTATTTTCGGGTTGTTTCACCGAACCCTCTTTATCTATCTCGACGCTATGTAACATCCAGTTCGTGGTTTCTTCGTTCCCGGCGTTCTTGTTGTTCTTCATAATGTCTTATAACTTTGTATCCTTTATTTGTTTCGCCGTAACGTGCACATGAGGAGGTTCACGATCTATTTTTGTTTGTTGTTCTGCCGGTTATCGACATGATCAATCGTTAAAGATCTTTGCTTTTTGTTGATAAAAGATCCTGATTTTCTTTCTAAGTTCCTGTAAGTTCTTGCTCTCCTTTAATTTTTTAGACTAAGAATAGCCTCCTCATTGTGTGTCGTTTGTAACATTGTGGATAGTCTATTTACTTGGGAAGAGAGACACATGAAGAGTTGCCAAAAATAGAAAGTGCTAAGAAAGATCAAACGAAAGAAAAAAGTAGATACATTACGTTGAAGGATCGGTCCAAATTTAAAGTTTTCAAAACAAATGAATGAATGGCGCCTGCTATTAACGATAGTCCTGGTTATACATATTATATAGGTAAGCAAGTTTTATCTTAAAATGAGATGGAATCGAATGGATTGATTAAAAAAAGAGAAATTCCTTCAGATACCACAAAAAAACTGATATACATTAATAAAAGTGTTACTTACTTTGATTGTCGTTAAGCAAATCTTTCTTTTACTAGATAAAAATATTGTATTCGTAGAAGAAAATTTTCATATTTCACAATTTATTTGATTGGAAGTTCTAAAACTATAATGATACATTTTTCCCATTTTGTTCGGGTATGTTGAACACACACCAATTTCCAACGTGCGACGAGGATTGTTAGAAAGACGTAATAAAAGTAATATGTGAACAAAATTGGAACATGCACTAAATTGGAATATCTTCCCAGTTAGTGTTCAAAAGATCAAACACATGCACTAGATGAGACCTATATTATACTTATTAATGGAATGCTACAGTGTTTATTTGGTTCCCACCCTTAATCTCTACATGACAATGTTTTTTGCTGACAATCCATTTGACGAGGCCTTCTTCTCTACGTAAGAGACAACTGCTGAGAAAAAGTACCCAAAACTAAGAGTACATACATTGTAAAGCCGAAAAAAAAATATTGATGTGGCATGATTTTTTCTCATAATCGAGAAAAGGTTTTGGAATCGGTTTTGGGATAAATTCGCCACGTGTCGCTAAACGATTCCTTGATTTTTTTTTTTAAATCATAATTGTTTTTCAAAATTATTTTCTTTTATTTTTAAAGAACTCCAACTAGGCTGTGCATTGTATGTGCTCTCAAAATTTCTGTAGAAGAGAATCGTGAAACGATAGACATATCACCAAATGGTTTTGTGTTTTACGAGGAATAGGATCGTGTAGTATCCTAAAGTTCTAAAGTTGGTTGTTTGATTGTTTCTGTTTTATAATGAAAAAAAAGTTGACCAAAAAAATAATATTTATTACATAGTTTATTAATTTTAGTTGATAAAAGAAAAAAAATATGGAAATAGAATAAAGTATGCTAAAACGGCGTCGGATTGGTCAGTGACACACAAGTAAAGTGAAATCACTCTTAAGCTGGATCGTCTTTCTTCCGGGATCGACTCGCTCCGAGTCGACTCGTACAGACTCGGTCCGTCTCTTCCACCCTCTTTCCAAACAAATTTTTTTTTAGGGAATTCACCGTCTTCTTCGTCCTACTATGCCCTAAGTCTCTGTGGCTTTACCCTTTTTGGTCTTTTCACATAACCCCCAGTGATCTGACGGCTCTGCTTCCGTCCACGTCAGCTTCGTCTTCTTCAACCCTCTAATTCTCTCTCTCTCTCTCTCGGTCACCGTCTTCTTCTCCCCCCTTTAGTTTATCGCGTTATTTATACGGTTTCTTCTCTAGGGTTTCCTCCAGATTCATCTACCATTCTCTTCTCCCTTTTTCATTTTTTTTCTTCCTCGAGTACCTGTAAAAGTTTTGCTGCCGCAAGTGGCATCGGAGCTCCAATTTTGTTCAATTCTGGAGACAATTGAGGTAATTTGATCACAATTCCATCGAAATCTTCTACTTTAATTGAATTGGTACTGTAGAGTTTACAATCCTGTTCTTAATTTCCTTCTTCGATTTTCTCTGAGTTTATTTTGATGGCGTTAATGCTTCGTTTGTGTTAGGGTTACTCTATCGTTGAGTGCGATTTGGGGGATTTTTCGCGGGATGGCGATCGAGAAGAGTAACGTCAAGGTTTCGAGGTTTGATTCAGAGTACTCACATGGCAGTGGTGACTCTATGTCAAGTTACGACGGAGACGAGAGGCTTCAACTGCAACGTAAAACCTCAGCGGCTAACGTTGATTCCGAGGACGAGGAGGATGATGATTTCGATGAAGATGATTCTGGAGCAGGCTCTGATGATTTTGATCTGCTTGAGCTGGCGGAAACTGGCGCCGAGTTCTGTCAAGTAGGGAACGTGACTTGTAGCATTCCGTTTGAGCTGTATGATCTCTCTAACCTTGAAGATATACTCTCTGTTGATGTTTGGAACGAGTCTCTCACTGAGGAAGAACGGCTTAGCCTCTCTAGCTATCTGCCTGACGTTGATCAGATGACGTTTATGGTTACTCTGAAAGAGCTTTTCCAGGGTCGTAGTCTCCACTTTGGCAGTCCTGTTAAGAAACTGTTTGATATGCTGAAAGGTGGTCAGTGCGAGCCGAGGAACGCGCTTTACCTCGAGGGACGTAGTATGTTTCTGAGAACGAAGCATTATCATGCTCTGAGGAAGTATCACAATGACATGGTTGTGAATCTTTGCCAGACGAGGGATGCTTGGGCAAGTTGTAAAGGGTATAGCATCGATGAGAAGCTCCGTGTGTTGAATATCGTGAAAAGCCAGAAGACTCTGATGCGAGAGAAGAAGGAAGATTTTGAGGAGGATTCGTCAGAGAAGGAAGAGGCTTTTGATGGGCCTTGGAGCAGAAAGGTGAAAGACAGGACGCCTGTGGAAAACAAAATGGCTCGTCGTTCTGGTTACGGTGTTGATTCAGGTTTGGAATTTCCTAGCCGGCGGCAGCTGACTGGTCTAGAGCAGGATAGATATGGCAAACCAAAGTCGAAGCAGATGACTGCAGCACTGAAATTCCCCTTTGGTAAAACGTCTGTTGGGCCATATGCTTCAAGTTATAATGGGTTGGGTATGAACTCTGCATATAACAGCTCTTCTCACGTTAGGCAGAAGTATGGTTCAGGATTGGTTCTTGGGTCAGAAGATGATGATGAAGACGATCAGGATCCACTCTTTGGAACGGGTTCTCGACGAGATCGGGATAGTGTTGCTAGAGAGAAGTCTGGATTCTCGAGGCATGGAAAGAAACACAAGTTTTCAAGAGAGGGAGAACCAGTTTCTGAACATTTCATGGCTCCACCATATTCATCAAGGCAGTCCCACGGCAATTTTTCAAAATCAAGTAAATATGCAAACCATATTCAGCCTCGTGCATATGCGGACCAGGTGAAGCCTGTAAAAGGTAGTCTTGCAGATCTCCGTGGGGACTTGTATCGGCCTGGGAAGAATCACGGAGATGGTTTTTCTGTTGATCCTAGATATATATCTGACGACTTGAATGGTAGAAGCAAAAAAATGAAGTCTGAGAGGAACTCACCAGATACTAGTTTGAGATCTTACAGAGCGTCTATGCAACAAATGAATGAGAGGTTCTTGAATTCTGATTTTGGCGAGCACCAAGTGCAGGAAAAGATTAGAGTGAATGTGGTACCAAATGCGAGGTCTGGTCTTGCGCCATTAAGGGATAGCAGAATGTTCATGAGAAATGATGATACAGAGTCGGATTCATCCGAGGGGTATGATGATGAGCAGGAGAGAAGTCGCTTAATACGGAACAAACCATCTGTCTCTCTTGGTAGGCTTAATAATTCTCATTTTCCGATGCTCAAATCTGGGCAACATAGTAGAAAGATCAAATCCAGAAAGAAAGATATGCAGGAGAATGAATTGCTTGATGGACGGGGTGATTACGTGAAATATTTAGGCGCACCTGGAGAACAAATCTATGCGCCGGAGATAGAGAAACACTCTGTCAAGGCAAAACAAAAGGGTAAGATGCGTGACAGGAGTCCTTTAAATAATTTTCCCTCTCGAGGTTTTGAAGATGGCCCTATCGCAAGCTTGAGTGAGTTGAAGGAGAGAAACAACAGGAAGGAATTTTTCAGGCAAAACAAGAATAGCCAGGCAAGAGAGCAAATGACTAATAGACCACAGTTTCAGAGACCATCTGCAAAACCAAATCTGTCTGGGAGAAAAAGAGGCTTTGATGAAGATGACGAGTTACCTGAGATGAGAACATTGGTTAATGATAGAGCCCGGGGTCGACATGGTAGGAAATATCACGTTTCTGAGGGAGATGGTAATAGTGGCGATGAAAATTTAGAGGCCCAATTGTTGGTTACTTGCAGTAATGTGTCGAAAAAAAGGAAGGCTAGAGAGTCTTTAATGGACATGGAGAGGAGGGAGGAGAATGGTGAGCTGCAGCTTTACTCTGACATTCAACAGCCCGCAGATGATATTATTACCTCAAAGAGAAAGGGAAAGAAGAAAATGGAGGTTGATGTTGATTTTCTCGATCTGGATCCCTCTGAAAATCCAAAAGCAGGAAAGGGTGTAAGTGAAGCAGTGGTGGAAACCAAGCCGCAGAAGAAGCCATTTGTGTTGATCACACCAACAGTTCACACTGGCTTCTCTTTCTCCATTGTACATCTTCTGACAGCAGTGCGTATGGCAATGACAAGTCCGCGTCCTGAAGATTCACTAGATGTTAGCAAACCAATGGCAGTGGAGAATGCAGAACATGAAGCTGGAGAAAACGGTGCTCCCATATCCAAGGATGCGGAGGATAACAAGTCGCCACAGCAGGGAAGTGGAAACTTGCCATCCCTCACTATCCAGGAGATTGTTAGCTGCCTGAAGTCAAACCCCGGAGATCCTTGTATCCTCGAGACACAAGAGCCGCTTGAGGATTTGGTTAGAGGTGTTCTGAAAATATTCATCTCGAAAACCTCGCCTTTAGGGGCAAAGAGCTGGAAGCCACTTGTAACATTTGAGAAGTCGACGAAAGGCTGGTCTTGGATTGGCCCTGTTCTCAGTCCTTCTGAGCAAGAGACTGTTGAAGAGGTGACATCGCCTGAAGCCTGGGGTATCCCGCACAAGATGCTTGTCAAGCTGGTTGATTCATTTGCAAATTGGCTGAAAAATACCCAGGAAATTCTTCAGCAAATAGGAAGTCTTCCTGAACCACCGTTGTCACTCACGCAGATTAACTTTGACGAGAAAGAAAGGTTCAAGGATCTGAGAGCCCAAAAGAGCCTTAGCACGATTGTTCCGAGTTCCGAAGAAGCAAGAGCTTATTATCACAAAGAGGAATTTCTGAGGTACGCAATTCCGGACAGAGCATTTGTGTACACAGCTGCTGATGGTAAGAAGTCGGTTGTTGCTCCCCTGAGAAGAGGCGGAGGGAAGCCAACCTCAAAACCTCGGGATCATTACATGCTGAAACGCGAGAGACCGCCGCATGTCACGCTTCTGTGTCTTGTGAGAGATGCTGCTTCCAGATTGCCTGGTCGTATTGGGACAAGAGCTGATGTTTGTACCTTAATAAGAGATTCACAGTATATCATGGAGGATGTGACGGATGCACAAGTGAATAATATCGTGAGTGGGGCCTTGGATCGTTTGCACTATGAGCGGGACCCTTGTGTCCAGTTCGATTCAGAGAGGAAACTGTGGGTGTATCTACACATAGACAGAGAAGATGAAGATTTTGAGGATGATGGTACTTCATCCACTAAGAAATGGAAGAGGCCGAAGAAGGACGCTGCAGAGCAAACAGAGGGACAAGAAGCTGTCACTGGGGCTGAAGAGCTTCCTGGTGATGAAGAAGAAACCGGGACTGAGTTGGGTTTAGAACCGAAGACTGTTGAGCCCGCTGGTTTGGACGGGGATCAAGGAGGAGCAGACCAACTGTGTAATGAGACTGAACAAACTGCAGAGGAGGAAGATGTTGAGAACACTGCACAGGGTAATGAGACAACAACGATGTGGGAGCATGATCCTGCTGTTGTTTTGAATGCCGTTGAGGATAACACGTTTATCTGCCTAGAGAACTCAGTGGATGATGATTTTGACGATGAAACATGATTGGTGAGACTCATAGATATCAGGTAGTTTGAAATACCCGTTTTTTTTTATATTCTGCTTCACTGATATCATAATTGTTAGATTAACAGAGGTTTATTGCTATGTACATTTCCACTGTGTGATATTGATTTTTTTTCTTTTTCTAATCATATTGGTACAATGGTGAATCATTCTGACAAGAGGACGCCGTTTTCATTCATTTCCTTTTTCAGGTGAAAAGGTCAGAAGGTAGTTGGTTAACAGAATGAAACTATGGATTTGTATAAAGACATGATTGTTTGATCCCAAAAGATGTCAAAAAAGTGAGATCATAGGCTCTATTACAAACAGGTTGAAAGGTTATTCCTTTTATTCTCATGTCTACCATTTTTCTAATTCATAAGAAAATGAAGATGTTAGTATTTAATAGAGTTACTGAATGACTAAACCTCAATATATATAGGTATAGTGAACAAATGTTTCATCATGTGAACTTAAAAATACAGGTGTTATTCATCTAAAACGTGTCAACAAAAAAATCAGACTTCGTTTTGATGATTGATGATTCATAGTGTCGGCTAATCAGAAGGATAAAAAGGATGTTTTCTCATCTTTTTCATAGTTTGTGTATATTTTTATTCATATAAGTAAACAGCTG